AAACTTTTAGAGACAAATTTAAAAGGAAAAGTTGTGGTTGAATAATTGATTGGAATTTGCAAAGCGAGGTAAGTGTCATGGTTAACTTTGATTTGAGGGAATAGAACCCTTAAATTATTTATTATGTGAATTACATCTGAACGACGTATATGTGAGGTGACGAGTGTCTATATGTCGTCAAATTAATTATTTGCTGGCTTATTTGAAAAATCATAAATTATTTTAAATCATAAATTAATTATCATAATAATTGTTTCTCTCATATTCTTTGTCAAATATTAATTCATGAATTTCTGCATTTATCGTTATATGCTATTTGAATTACGTGTTTAATTATTATTTGACATTTAGTATATTAAATATTAAACTACCTATTTTCTCTCTGATTCCCATAATAATTTGCTATTTGTCATTGTTTGTTTCATGATTAAATCATAAATATTGAATGCTTGTTATCTTATAATTTTATATTAATTGTTACATTTATTGGAAAAATTTCTTCTATAAGAGTTGATAAATGAATATGTTGGAAGAGCGGGTTGCACATTGCAACATGATTGATTATAATGAATATATTGGAGGATCGGGTTGCACGCAACAGACTTATTAAAAGTCCATATTGGAGGATCGGGTTGCACGCCGCAACAGACTTATTTNGGCGGGTTGCACGCTATAACAGAATTGAGTGTGAATATATGGTAAGAGCGGGTTGCACGCTGCAACATAATTGATGGAAATGATAATTAGTTATGACTGCTGAGTTGGCTTCAATTATTATAAATGAGTTACCTAAATTATTTTTATTGTTGTTGTTATTACTAATATTGCATACATGTTAATGTAAGTGACCCGCCTTAGCCTCGTCACTACTTCGTCGATGTTAGGCTCAACACTTACCAGTACATGGGGTCGGTTGTACTGATACTACACTCGGTATTTCTTGTGCAGATTTTGGAGTTGATCCCAGCAGCGTACCGTAGATTTGCTCGGATTTCAGCTACCAGAGGAGACTTGAGGTATAATTGCATTACGTCCGCAGTTCTGAAGTCCCCGTCTATTTTTACTTTAGCTGTGTGTTTATTTCTAGACAGTTTTATTTTATTCAGACCTTTATTTGTATTCATTCTAGAAGCTCGTGCACTTGTGACACCAATTCTGGGATGGTATTTAGACACCGTTATATTTTTAGATTATTTCTAACTTTGCTTCCGCTTTTGTTTTATTGATTATTAATAATGTAAAGATTGTTTAAAAATTTGTTAATATTATTCTAACGTTGGCTTGCCTAGCTAGTGAAATGTTAGGCGCCATCACGGTCCGAAGGTGAAAAATTCGGATCGTGACATTTCCAATATTGTATCGGGTATTAATTTTGCGGAGCAATACTTAAATAAATAAATAAAAATTACCTACCATTTTTTTTTTCTGCTGCACCAAATTGAGAAAAGCAATGTGATCCTAGTAGAATTTCCCACGGTGGGAAGTTGTACAAAATGAATGAAGAAGTTCATCCATCAATAGCATTAACCGCAACCCTTCTCTTATTCATCATCTCTTTTGCTCTTTGTTTCAACGACACAAACTATATGCATGATTGTGGCTGATAAATTCACGCTACTGTCACGACCCAGTTCTCACCATAGGCCGTGATGGCGCCCAACATTGCCGCTAAGCAAATCACCGGTGAACTATCCATTTAATTATTCATTTTAATTGTTTAAAGTCATTGAATTTATTTCATAAAGAACCAAGAGTAAATGAACGTAATAACATAAAGCATGAAATAAACATAAGGGTGAAGTAGTAAAATTAATAGACAAAAACTATGAATATCTACTAGAAATTTCCAAAACCCGGTGTCACAAGTGAATGAGCAAACTAATAGAATATACAAAACCTCCTACAACTATTGTCTGAAGTAAGATAGACAGAAAAGTAAATATAACAAGGAGGAGACTCCGGGTGCTGCAGAACGGAGCATAGGAAGCAGCTCACCACTAAGTCTCTAGATAGCGGAGATACGTGCCTGACTGGCCACCAGATGCACATGCCTCAAATCCTGCACGATTGGTGCAGAAGTGTAGCGTGAGTATATAAACAATGTGTACCTAGTAAGTATCTAGTCTAACCTCGAAGAAGTAGTGACGATGGGTCGACATCGACACTTACTAGAGATCAATAAATAAAGTATAAGAATTATAGATAGGCATGAAATACAACATTAACAATGGAATAAGAAACAGGAAATAATGATTCTTAAACATAATATTAATTTAAAATCTCCAACTATCACATGTCAAATTTTTAACACATAAGAGCCACCAAGTAATTATCAAGTCTTAGGTCAAGAAAGAAATATCAAGTATAATCGGACTCCCAGCAATATCATGCACGATTTATGCCGAGGTCGTTTGGCCCGACCCAGAATAGTGTGTACACTGCCGAGGGTCGACCGACGCGAACCATAAATGCATCTAATATACTGCCAAGGCGTTCGGCCCGATCCTCAGGAATAGAGAAACTCTACAAACTCCGATCAACGACTACTACATAGGAATAATACTCAAAGAAGGCATAATTCCGCTAACAATCAAGTATTTCGTCAAAAATCAAAGTAATGAAGCTCGGTCTCATAAAATCTTTTATCCAATTTCAATTATAAATTAAAGTAATTAAACTAACAAGTTGGGTGCAAATAATACAAGTAATGCATGGTAAAGTCCTAAGTCTACCCAGACTTTAACATGATTTTAGCTACATACGAATCTCGTCACATTGTGCGTACATAGCACCCATAATTATTAGCAAATAACTATTTAAAATACCTACGGGGATAATTCCCTCTTACATGGTTAGGCAAGAGACTTAACTCATTCCCAAGTCCTCTTTCCGGTCCACAAATCGCACTAATAGCTTCAAATCGGTGCTGAGCAATCCGAAATTAGCCAAAGGTAGTACAAGCTAATCAATATATACTCAAAAGTTCATAATTTTACATAGGGTAATTACCCAACCCAATTTGAAAAGTTCCTAAAATTCACCCTCGGGCCCACGTGCTCGGATTCCGGGAATTTTCAAAAATAAATATTACTCATATCCTCACTAACACAAATATATAATTTCTACTCAATTCTATAATTATTTTTGTGGTCTAATCCCATTTTTACCAAAACCTAGGTTTTTCAACAAAATCCTAAAATTTTCACATTTTCCATGTTAAAATCTACCCATAATCTATGTATTTAACTTACATTAAGTAAAAATCACTCACCTTATAGTGCTTGATGGAAATCCCCCTCCAAAAAGCTCCAAATTCGGCCAACACAATGAGAAATGGAAAAAATAAGACTAAGTCCCTGCCCAGTTGACCCTTCTTCGCGATTGCGGAAGCTCACTCGCAATCGCAAAGGCAAAGCTGCCATCGCCCAGAATGCGAGGGCAGACTCGTGATCGTGAAGGCTTGCCCCGCATGAGCTTCACGAACGCGGTCAAACCTTCGTGAATGCGAAGGGTAATAGCAGCTGACCCCTCCAAAGGCCTCATTCTTCTACGCGAATACGAGAGGGTCTTCGTGAACGCGAAGACCTCAAGCCTCAAACCTCCGCGAACGCGACCTCATGATCGCGAACGCGAAGAACAAATCAACCCTGCCTCAATCCTTCATCGCGAACGCGTGAGGACCTCTGCGTTCGCGAAGAAGAAAACCAGAAGTAGCAAATTCTGATGTTTTGGACTTAGCTCCGGGTGGTCCGAAACATACCCGAGCCACCCAGGATCCCGTCCAACTGTACCAACAAGTCCATAAACATAATACGGACCTGTTCGAACCCTCATAACATATAAAACAACATCAAAATAAAGAATCGCACCCCAAAACCAAATTAATCAACTTATACACTTCAAACCTTTTCAACTAGCTCCGAACGCATCGAATCATACTTAGACAACTCGGAATGACGTCAAATTTTGCGTAAAAGTCATAAATCACCATACTAACCTATTCCCAGACTCGGAATCCCAAACGGACCTTGATAACACAAAAGTCTACTTCAAACCAAATTTAAAGAATTTGAAAACCTTCAATGAGCCAACTTTCAACATTAAGCACTGATACGCTCCCGGATCACCCGAAACTCGATCCGAACACACGTCCTAGTCCAAAATCATCATACGAACCTATTGGAACCATCAAATCCTGGTTTCAAGGTCGTTTACTTAAAATTTTGACTCAAGTCATATTTGGCCATCTTAGGCCAGAATTAAGGAACTAAGTGTTCCGATTTCAACCCGAACCCTTCCAAAATCAAACAAATCATCCCCGCAAGTCATAAAATAGTAAAATCACATACGAGGAGTCTTATTTAAGGGAATATGGATCTAGAAAGCAAAACGACCGATCTAGCCATTACAACTGCTATACTCATTACTTCTCTGTGACAATAAATGTGACCTTACTATTAACATACATTTTAATATTTCTTCAGTTATATTTTTAATTCAATTGGAAAGAGTTGAGGGACTTGTGTCTTTAGGTCACCGATTCGAGTGTTGCATCAAGCGAACTAGCTCGGATATTTAAATAGATAAAAGTAGAGGAGCACATCCATCATTCCCAAATTTCTTAGATTGCGGGGTTGGCCCGAACGGTAAACTCCAGACAGATTTATTGGCCATCAAAAAAATATTTTTTTAGCTCAAACCAAATTCAGAAGGTACACTATCCTCTCACTGGTCACAGTTGCGCACTATTAGCTCTCGTCGTCCCGTACAATTCTATTGTCGCCCAATAAGTCACAGCCCACCATACTTGACACTTGCGGGTCCTGGCATTCTTCCCAGGATATATCTATTGAAATGTATCTAATTAATGATCTTTACAATCATCTTAAACAGTAGACCTAAATCTTCTGCCTAGTTTTAGAGTGGGTAAGGCTTATCATCATCCAAATAAAACAAAACGAGATTAATAATTTGAGAAACGAAAGGAGAACTTTGTCACAACGCCGACCAAAAAGTCGTGAATTTAAGTCGTAAAATTGGCGCATATAAAAATGCAATGTAAAGCTACATAGTGCTACAAATACAACCCAACATAAGGCTACATTAGACCTAATGTTATCCGATCCTTATGCAGACGTATGCATAACATTACTTCTCAGCGCATCCATCCTTTCTTGTTATGATCTGATTATGTACATGAACTGTAGCAGGAAGAAAGAGAAAAAAACCCTCGCTCCTAGTTTTGTCCCTTTTGACTATTCAACACTGAATAGAGCTTAAAAAAACAAGGAGTACCCAAAAGAAAAAAGGAAAGAGAGGGTGGGGGTAGAGAAAAGTTTTTTTTCTGTTTCAATTGTGAACTTCAAGGAATTCCTTCACTTTACTAGTATTAAATCTGGTCCACTGTACAATGCTCCATCTACAGTTAAGTCCTCAGGTTTCTCCCTCTCTTTGAGCCACGCATATTCATTTTGTTGTTCCTCAGGCACTGACAAGCCATCCACTGTACTTTCACCATATCAACAATAAAAAACGAAATTAGATAGAAAAACAAGAAACCTAGTGATAATGTCGGAGAGACAAATATTTCCGTATTTAGAATGTCATTTCAAGTACAATCAATCAAATCAATAATGTATACTTTGGAGAAAGCGACTGAACACAAAGTTTAAAAAAAATAATATTTTTGAAATTTGTGATCCTAAACAAGTCAAAAAGGGGTCAGAGTATTTGTGTGGTTATAAAAGTTTCTCATTAAGGATAAAATTATAAGTTTAAGTAAAATTATTTTCAAATTTAGAAAAGAATCATTCTTTTTTAAAACTGACAAAAAAAAAAAAAGGGTTCACGTAATTGGGGAGTAATAGTTAATGATTTTAGCAGCTGGTCAAGTTGGCAGTACTTTAAAGTCTACATGTTTCGGAAACTGTTTAATTTGCTCACCTGCCAACAATTTCTTCGAATATACTTTATGTATGTCTTATATTTCGGAGAATCAAATCAAAGTACTACTAGTAAGACGTAAATAGGCAATAATAAGCATCAACTGTTAGGCGGAACGAAAAAAGTATTTCTAGTATTAACCAGAGGTATCTGTTGAAATGGATTCCTCTACGAGAGAGAGCGTATTAGACTTTCTACGCCACAAATCCAAATTTCCAAAAATTGAATAGTAATTAAATAAAAAAGAAAAGCCATAAAATTCCAAGGAATCAACTTATAGTATTAAGTAGAACTCAAGTTTTAGTAAAAACAAAAGTACAGTGCATTATACCTGAGAAATTGGGAAATGGGAAGTCATAGTAGTATTGACAATGGCGACCTTTAGGATCACAATAAGGTGGGCCAAGCACATCAAGTACGGCGCAAGCCGTTCGTGCTGTGAAGCAGTGCATATTACCTCCATCAGCTGGATAGAGGATTGATGTCTTACAAGGAGCTCTAAACTCGGAATTCACCTTCAACTTTGCAAGACGTAGTCCAGTCCAATCACCTACATCATCTGATAAAAGAATGATTTTTTGTTACTTAGACTTCGTGTACGAGGAGGATAGAGGGGCGAATTCTGTGTGTTCAAAAGAACCATTCAGCTTGAGCTAGGTATACTATATGGAAAAAGTTAAAACGTATACTAAAACTCTAAATCTTGAATTCGCATGTGCAGGAATTTTGAGTGAGTTCATCAGCGGATAACCATCTTTTCTGAGTGAACCAGAAAGTTCTTGTTATAGTATCGCAACTTGAGTTATCTCAATAATGGATTTGGAAGCCAAGATTTCTACTACTACATTTTTTAAATGTACGTAAGATACTGAATATAACCGGAATAATCATATTAATAATTGCATTCATAACTATTTTCACTCTCAAATCTGAATTTATATGTAAATTTTAAAGGCAGTGCAAAAGAACTTGCCATTTTCAAAAAGTAAATTAACAAGATAAGCAATTTCCAAAGAACTTACTGTCAGATATATTGGCATTTGGAGTTGATTGATCAGGAAGGAGATTATCCGCCCAATCATAAGATTTGATGTGCATTTTACCAAAGAGAAGCTTGCTGAAAACTGTCATTCCAGGATGGTTATGAAGAGGAATGACTGCTGATGGCGGCAAGCAAAAGATACCAATCTACCAAAAAAGAAACAAACTATGAATTAATTCAATGAAGAGGGAGAAATGAGAGAGAGAATTCATTTCATTAAAAAGTTACGTTTAACTTCTATAAACTTACAATACAAAAGAATTTTAACCTATTACGTCACCTAAAAGATAATCATAAACAACCGTTAATAATAAGTGAGATTAATGACCTAAAAAATGAAGCAAGGCTGATTAAACAACAATGGTAGTGTAAAATTAAAATTATTGCATTTTACACTAGTCAGTGTATATAGTATATGTTAGTAAATCTTTAGTGAAATAGTAAACTTATAAAAGCTCGACCTTGGCTACATACCGAGAATTTGTCACATTCATGGAGATGCAGGTACATTATTTTAGGAGGTCTTTCAGATACTGTAGACTTGAAATATGGCATATTCGTTGTCAAGCCAACATCTGCTTCAGTCATGTTATCTATACAAAGGAAAATGGAGCAACTGTTACACAGTGTCATATAATAAGGGTAAAAAAAAAGGAGGAAACGAAGGAGTAGTCTTCATCCTCAAATCCTGGATAATCATAAGCAAAGCAAAAAGAAACAAGAAAAGAAAAACGATCCTAGGGAACAGTGTGGCAATTATTTCCCAATTCCAAAAAAGGTTGCTCCTTTTTTAACCAACAAGACAATTATTTCTACACCAAAATGCAGACAAATTCAGCTTGAAAGAACAGTAAAGGAAGCAGCTTTATCCAAAATTTATAAGGCATTTCCGTAATGGGAGAGGAAAAATGACAAGATAACTAGATCATGTCGTGCTAAAAGTGATAAAATATACTCCATTAACAAACTCATCATTGTCAAAACCAACTTTCCATAAATTTAAACTCCTTTAATAAGATCATGGAAGCTATCACCGTAAGCACTAAATACTATAGCATCACAAGAGAGAGAGAAACCATTAAAAGAGAAACATACAACTAGAGTTCCAAATAATGGGTGTCATCACCATTTCAAAATGGCAATGCATGATCAATTTTATCAATGCCAGATTATGTGCCCGGCCCGTTTTCAAAAGTTGCACCTTGAACGGTTGTACCTCAAAACAAGTACACTTTTTCCAACGTTAACAAAATTGTTATGGCACCATTTTATATAAATATGTTCCTCCAAAATAACAATAGTGTAACATTAAAAACCTCAAGAATCCAAGTAAAGATATAGTAAAAGCAACTAGAATAACAACATACCCAAAACTGCTTTGAGACGTTCAACATTTTGCGGGGAGGGCACAACGCCGGGTCCGCAATTAGCAAAAACTTGTTTGCAAGTTTCATACAGTTTCTGAACCTTTGACACTTCCCTTCGCCTCCGACTCCGACGCCTCTTCTTCGAGTTACTGTACTCCCTTTTATCTTTCCTATCACTTACATTTTTCTCAATCCCCATTCACCCAAATATTAAAATTCAATTATATATTCAAGACGAATTACGATCTGGGGTATTCAAAAAAAGCGTTACTGTAAAGAAGAGCAACAAAATTTTTACTGTTTTATTATGAGCAGTATATACTATATATATACATGTAGGATTTGTTGAGAGATAAAGAAAAACAGAGAAGTGAAATTGCTCATCCCTACTGTGATGTGAATGATAGTAGATGAGTAAAAAAAATGGTGGGAGGGGTATATAATTATAAATGGAGGAGTAGTGGATTGGGATGGCTGAAAGGAGAGCTCCATAATTAGTACAGGTGAATGGAAATGAAAAACCAGGGGCCACTATTCCAATGGGCTATTCTAACACCACCTTCCCCTTTTGACATTGTCTATTCCCTTTAACTTTTATATACTCCATATGGATTGCTCCTGACAAATTTAAAATTTAAAAGTACTATTCAATTGAAAGAATTCTCAAATTAAGTTTTTCAATACTTTCATAACTGCATCAAACAAAAATTACGTATTAATCCTAAATAAGTTGAGATCAGGAAAAAAAGAAATTTTTTAAAGCATGTGGTCCTAATGTTTAAAAGGCAAATGCTTTGTGGGGCCATGTCATTTGTGTAGTATAAAATGTTATCATTAAGGGCAGTGGCGAAACCAGAATTTTTTTTTAGGGTGTTCAAACTTGAAAGAATTAAAAAACAATCCATGTCAAATGGTGTTCAATATATGTTATATACCTCTAAAATATAATATTTTACATATATATCCAGTGTTATTTTCCGACGAATGGTAGTCAATTGACCACCCTTACTTGACCACCCTTGCCATAATGTAGCTTCGCCCATGATTAAGGGTAAATTGGATAAAGCGAAAAGTGTAAAGTTAAGTTGTTTACAAATATAAAAATATATCATTTTTTTAAAAACAAACTAATAAAGGAAGTGTGTTATTTAAATTAAAACGGAGGGAGTACTTCATTTAAATTATCTCAATATTATGCAAATATAAGTAAATTTTAAAAACTATTAGAAGTTCAATAAAAGTGTTAATGTCTAAAATATATTCTTAACTAAGTATTGTCTATATAGATTATTTTCTTTTATTTTGCCTATTTTTGCTAAGTTTGCATGAATCTGAACAAATTATAAGTCATTCGAGATAATTTCATTCGATGTAATTTTAGGTCTATCTCATGTTCTTTTATCACCTTCTTCAATTTTTGCTATTTGAACTTTCTCGCAAATATGATAATTTTTAATCTTATATGAACACACATCCATCTTAAACATTATGTGCAGCATTAACATCCTAAAGTGGGAATCAGAACTTTACATCTAATTTATGAGAGTTTTCCCCATCATTTTAAAGGGGATGGGAATTAAGCAAAAACGAAGGAGTCGATTAGTAGGTAGGAAATCGATACATAATCAATCAATTAAGCAAATATAAATTACAATAATTAATAATTTAATATCAACTTCAATAATCTCATTTACAAGTTATAGCTAATCTTCTTTTTCCTCCCCCCCCCCCCCCCCCCCGTTTTCTTTGATTTTGTTATTCCGTAGAGCTTATCACAGATACCCCTTTATCCCTTTTTCAAAACGTCTTCCTTCGATTGAGATTGTCAATTCATGAAAATAAATTATTATTGTAATTCAACATTACCTTAGAAAACTAAATCAAGCTTTGCACTGTTGGAAACTCGACTCGGTCTTGAAATGCCTGCAAAGCTATTCTATTTCATTTACTGAAAGCAAAAAGAAGGAAATAAGAAACTGTAACCACCCGGCCGGTCGTTTCGAGAGTTATAGCCCCGTTCTTCCCATTTCTGTTTCTTTTTGTGTTACTCAACTATATTGTGTTATACCGGGAAAGTCGGTTCGGGTCCGGAGTGGTTTCGGAGTGAATTGAGACACTTACTCTCTAAAGTAGAAACTTAAGTTGGAAAAAGTCAAGTGGACGTTGACTTATGTGTAAACGATCTCGGTCCGTAGTGGAATTAGGCTTGAATTGGCGAAAGTTGGAAATTTGACGATTTCGGTCGGTAGTGAAAAATTTGATATCGGGGTCCGAATGGATTTTCGGAAGTTTAAGTAGGTTCGTGGTGTCATTTGTGACGTGTGTGTAAAATTTGAGGTCATTCGAACGTGGTTTGGTTGGTTTCGACATCAGTTGTCGAATTTGGAAGTGTAGAAGTTTTTAGGCTTGAATCTGAGGGTAATTTGGTGTTTTGATGTTGTTTTGAGTGATTCGAAGGCTCGACTAAGTTCGTATGTTGATATATTACTTGTTGGTATGTTTTGTTGAGGTCTCGAGGGGGCTCGGGGTGATTTCGGATGCTCAACGGAAGGAAGTTTTGGACTTAGCTTGGTAGATTTTTCTAGTGTTTTCGCACCTGCGGTGGGAGGCCCGCAGGTGTAGCCCCGCAGAAGCGCTTAGGAAGTCGCAGATGCAGGCAAGGCTGGGTTAGATTGGAATCGTAGGTGCGAGAAGGGGGACGTATCTGCGAGTCCGCAGATGCGAGGCTGAGACGCAGATGCGGAAGAGAGGAGTTTGGCTGTTTCCGCAGAAGCGGAGGGAAATGTGCAGGTGCGAGACCTAGGACGTAGGTGCGGGGCCAGTACGTTAAGTGAGTTTCCGCAGAAGCGTAGTTCCCAACTGCAGAAGCGGCTCCGCAGGTGTGGATATTGGACCGCATGTGCGGTTTTGCTGGGCAGAAAGTATAAAAAGAGGACTTCAAGATTTTTCCTCATTTTCACAATTTGGAACACGGACTTTGGAGCTTTTGGAGTGATTTTTGGAAGGAAATTTGAGGGTTTTCACAGAGGTAAGTTGCTTGAGCTCTAATACTCCTAGCTATGGTGCTTTCCCATTGATTTCTCATCTAATTAGTGGGGTTTTGAAGTGAAAATTGGGGGTTAGGGCTTGGGATTTTGGAGAGTGTAATTTGAGGATTTGAGGGACCAAATGATATCGGATTTTGATAAATTTAGTATAGATAGACTCGTGAGTGAATGAGCTTTCGGGTTTTGTGACTTTTGTCTGATTTTGAGATGTGGGCCCGGGGGCCGGGTTTGAGCCAATTTCGGATTTTGAGTCTAATTTAGTAGTTTCCTTGTGGAATTGATTTCTTTAGCATATATTAATGGTATTGTACTGCTTGTGGCTAGATTCGGGATGCTCGGAGACCGATTCGAGAGGCAAGGGCATTGCAAAGTAGAGATTTGCTCGGATTGAGGTAAGTAACTGTTGTAAATCTAGTCCTGAGGGTAAGAAACCCCAGATTTTTGTGTCATGTGACTATTTGGAGGTGACGCACATGCTAGGTGACAGGCGTGTGGGCGTGAACCATTGGGGATTTGTGACTTGATCCGTCCCGTAGCAACTGTAAAGTTGAACAACCTGTTGTAGCTATTTGCTCTTTATGTGCTTTAGAAAGTTTTACTGTAAATCATTGTAGATACCATGTCTAGGCCTTATGCCAGTATTGTTGGACTCTTAGAGGTCGTTTCTTACTGTCCTCTCACTGCTTTATTTGATATCCCGTACTCAGTCATGTTCATGCATTCTTACATCATAGTTCAGTCTCTGTTATTCTATTTGTTGCATCATGTTAATGTTGTTTGGACTGATTTCTGAGAGCCCGAGAGGCTGGAGAGGTTTATGACTGAGTGAGGCCGAGGGCCTATTTGTGAGGTATTGTACCTTATCACGTGAGTTGTCCGTGCAGCATGTGAGTTATCCGTGCAGATTATAGCGTTTGGGCTGTAGGAACCCCGCCGGAGTCTGAACACCTCAGTGAGCGCGGGTACCTACTGAGTGCGAGTGCCGAGTGCTGAGTGATTGTGAGGCTTGAGTGATTGCGAGGTTGGAGTGATTGAGAGGACTGAGTGATGTTAGCCCGATGGGCAGTACATGATTTCATCATCCATGCTCATAGTTACTTTGAGTCCTTGTTTGAGAACTGTTGAAAGATATTTCTGATTGTCTTACTTGAACTTGATTTAAACAAACTGATTTGACTTAAACTCTGGTTGCATAGCATGCCGCACTTTACTAAATTCTTGTGATATGAACGGTACTTGCATTTAGCTCGTCACTACTTCTCAGTCTTTATTTACTTCCGTTGCTTACTGAGTTAGTGTACTCACGCTACTCCCTGTACCTTGTGTGAAGATCCAGGCATTTTTGGTCACGGTAGCGGCTGCTGATATTCCTGTAACTGATCATTGGAGTTAGCAAGGTAGCTGCCTGGCGATCGCAGCCCTGTTTTCTCCTTCTTTATCTCCCCCTTAGTTGTACTTTGGATTTTTCTCAGACTATGTTAGTCTTATTGTTGTTGGACTAGTTTTTAGTAGTTGCTCATGACTCAGTGACACCCTGATGATTAAGACTTTTCATTCTGCATTTCTATTTTTGAGTTCAACCCTTATTTCTTTTATCAAATTCTGCTATACAAGACGCCTTTTGGCATATCTGTGAATGAATTGTTGTAGTATTGTGTGAGTCGGCTGGCCTAGTACCATCGATAGGCGCCATCACGACAAGTTTGAGTTTAGGGTCGTGACAAAAACAATAATTGAACAATAGCCTCTCGAAGAATCAACTAAAAGAAAAAGGAAATCTTCTGAAATTCATGTTGTTTAATTTTGATTCCATTTTGTAAGAAATTATTCGTATTCATAGTCGAGCTTCTTTCACAAAAATAATATTATTGTCGGTTAGTATTTCCATTTATCTTTTAATTTGCAAAAATATGTTATAAACCATTTATCTTTTTTTTTTTTTTGGGTTTAAATAACCATTTATCTATTCTCTCATCAATAATAACATATAAATAATGCAACAACAAAAAAGAAGATTTTAGTATCAAACGATTCAAATGAGATATTTTAGGTGGGATGATCACCGAAACTATTTGAACAAGATACAAATTTGACCTGGATTAATTAGTGAACCTTGATTGACAAGAAAAATTTATAGAATATTCAACTTTTGAGAATTATTTATACAAAATAATTTAATTATACGAATTCTAACGATGAAATCCATTATTTTCTCTTAAGCATTAAGCATAAGTGCTACTCCTTGATCTCTTTAAGGAATTGATTTTTGCTTAGGTTTAAGAAATACACGTTTTCTGTTGAAAAATTAGAAAGTCCTTTCTCCCTTAATTGACCAACGACTAAGAAAAAAATGGACGAATGAACTTCCTAGGGGCCGAATCCACTTGAAATTAGGTTTGGATGCTCTTTCAACTTGATAAATTTGGACAACTA